GTAGATGAAAGGAAGTGTGAGTACTTTATACTTTAACATATGCAAAGTATCATAAATGTTTCTCAAGATCACACATCTAATTCTTCAAATACATCTTAACCTACTTCTGACATTTCTGATTTATGACACTAGAACCTTTGGATTCAATGCCAGAATATGGCATTTCAAATGATTTTATGAGGATATTTTTGTGAGGGTATTTTTGTGAACTGAATGTGTGTGGGTTAGGAAAAAAAAGCTAAAAGAGATTCAGGTACATTCCTAACATTTCTATGATTACAAATTCAACCTGTAGAAACAGACATGATTTTTTTAGTTTTAGTTTGCAAATCTCTCTAAGAAATTAAAAACTCTTAGGCAAGTTTTGTATCCTAAGTTTCGTATTTTTTCAGATGCACCATCACAATCTTCAAAGATCTGTGTTTTGAAAATACTAATTATTCTCTGGGGGACCGTGGCAGTTCAGTGGTAGAATTCTCGCTTTCCATGCTGAAGACCTGGGTTTGATTCCTGGTCAATGCACCTCATGCGCATCAACCACCCATCTGTCAGTGGAAGCTTGCATGTTGTTATGAAGCTGAACAGGTTTTAGTGGAGCTTCCAGACTAAGATGGACTAGGAAAAAAGACCTAGTGATCTACTTCTGAAAATCAGCAAAGGAAAACCCTATGGATCACAAGGGCCTAATCACTAATTGATCATGTGGACGGTGCAGAACTGGGCAACATTTCATTCCATTGTGTATGCGGTTGCCATGAGTCAGGAGCCGACTTGGTGACAGCTAACAACAAATTATTCCATGTTATAATTTGAAAGAGGAAGATACTGCCTGGAATAGACAAGAGTATAAGTAATTTGCCCAGGATTACCAGGCTGGTCAGAGGCAGAACCAAGCACAGTGGATCCCAGGGTTTTAAAAGTTAAAGTCTAGGTGGCCCATCGTATCTGAGAATGACAGGGAACGGGAAGTAAATACACAATTAGACAGTTAGCTGCCAAAAGAGTTAATATTAAAGATATTGAAATAAATAGGTTTAAAGATAACATTTTAGGTGCAATTAAGAATTCCAGACAGTGACCAAGATTTTCCACCATGTTAATCGTGATCTTACTCTCCAACCTCTAATCTACCCTGGTGGAGCTTCAGTTTTGTTATGCTTCCCTACACCTGTCCCAGGAATTTACAAGAAGTCATAATGGAAATGGGATGGAAGCCAGCTATGTCATCCCTCCAACATTACCAGTATGACTCTAACCTTATGTTATAGCCATTTTTATACACTCCTTTCTTTCCCCATCCTATGTGCCCATCATAAGTAGCCCTTGACCTGCTCTTCTAACTATTATCATCACGGGTGGCTGAAAGTTTTTGTATAATTAGTCCTGACGGTAAAATTAGAAGAGCAGACAAATTTCAGGCTATAGCAGTGCTGAAATGAACATATTTTGCAAATACCCTGTTGAACATGGGCACATACGTAAGTAGAAGAGGATTCTTCATCTCTGCTAGAAGGGGCAACAATAAATACCACCAGACCCCTAACCCATAGCTGGTGGGAAAGAAAAATGGTACAACTATTATGTAAAACTGGCAGTTCCTCAAAAAACTAAAAATAGAACTACCATATAACCCAGCAATTCCACTCCTAGGTATATACGCAAAAGACTTGAAAGCAGAGACTTAAACACTTGTACACCAGTGTTCATTGCAGCGCTATTCACAGTAGCCAAAAGGTGGAAACAACCTAAATGCCCATCAACAGATGAACGGATAAACAAAATGTGGTACATACATACAATGGAATCCTACTCAGCAGGAGAAATGAAGTCTTGATACATGCTACGGTTATCGATGGAGCTGGAAGACATTATGTTGAGTGAAATGAGTCAATCACAAAAGGATAAATATCGTATGATCTCACTTATATAAAAAGACAAGAAAAGGCTAATGTATAGAGAACAAAGTTTATTAGTGGTTCCCAGAGATGGGAGGCAAAAGGGAAGGGGGGAGTTTTCCGGTGATGGAAATATTGCATTGCTTAAGGGTAGGGTTGCACAATTATTGTAATTGCTGTCAACAAGTTGTACACCTATAAAAAGTTGAATTGGCAAAAGTGTAATAGACATATTTACAACAACAAAAAATCCACTAGAGATGAATGGCAGAGCATATATCAAAGGTGGAAGACAGAAGTGAAGAAAAACAACTACATTTAATAAATGAACTAAAACAATTATGCAACCACCCACTTAGTGCAGAGCTTTGAGCTCTGTTTTAAATGCAACGTGAACATACCCACTGGAGAAATTCTATCACAGTCAAGCTGGTCAGCTATTCAGAGAACTCTTCCACAAGATGAGCAAACTGAGCTCACTGGTTAGAGAAGTCTAAAAGGCACTCTCTTATTAGATCTCCTATAAATCTACATGGAGTGATTTTTGGTAAGTTTCAGAAGCCCAATAATAGCCATCTGAAGACGTTAAAACTCTGCTCCTGGTCATCTGGTGACATTTAGTCACATTTCTTATAATTGGTGACTGTCCAACATTCCTTGGACACACTATATTGGGAGAATGTTCCCATTTTAGTTTTGCCTCCCCAAAGTAGAAGCCGGAATGTACTTTCATACCTGACCTTGCAACTAAAGCACGGACTTGTGACCTCAACTCTGCCAACCAGATGCCTTAGCCCATGCTTTCTTGGGAGAAGAGGAAGACGGCACCATGTGGAATCCGTGCCTAAGGAGGATAGAGAAAGAGGAATCCAGCTTTCCCCATGGCAATGGCCCAGCAACAGGGGTGTCAGCTGCAGGGTCTCTGCTGGGTGTGGTCCTCTGGTTTGGCCATTTCTTTGGGCTGCACAACCTCCAAGCCTGATGCTGGCCCTCTTGGGAACTCTTGAAGGCCCCGAATACTCTAACAAAATCCTTTTCTGCTCCAACTAGTTAGAATTTTCACTAATACATGGTACTTTTCAGAAGCTAAATAACAAGACAAGAATATGAACGTGCTTTGAAAACGATAACGGGCACTAACAATATGTGGTAGCAATTACAGTCCTTAGCTTTTAGAACTAAGAAGCATCAGCCCAAGCTTGCAAATAAATAGATCCCTTGCTAGCTTACTGAAGTTTTTGCATCCTAAAAGGAATACACTGGTCACAGAATAAATGTCATAGATGTTTCCTTCTAGCTACATGGCAGGAGAAAGAGGCGGGCGATGGTTTCCAGGGCTGCAGCTAATGTAGGAACTAGCTGAAGTTATTCTTGTCTTTCATGCTCTGACATCAAACACTAGTCCTTCTAAGAGAGCGGGCAGCAGGAAACACCCAACTGGTGGTCAGCCAGGGAAGGCTGCTGAAGACTTCAGTTTAATGTAAATATGACCCCTAGAGGCAGCACATGGAGGCGGGAGACCTGTGATGTGATCCGAGCCCTTCAACTAACCAGCTCATCAATCACAACCTCCTTTCCTCAGCTATGAGCATAATTGGGGTAAAATAATTGGATAAGATGTCCCGAACAAATGTCCTTACTACAATATCTTTCTACAAATATTCCAGTGCTGAACACACAGAGCAAACCAACCACAACTTGTCTAAGCAGTGATTTTATGGTCTTTGGTTACATTTTGCTAACTTCAATTTGTGGATCTATATTGATTTTTTTTTGAGGGGGTAGGAATATCTTAAGTACCGTAGTAAGTTCCCTTTAACTTAATTTTGGGATCCTGTGCCAGGTAGGCTCTCTCAGGTCAGAGAAAGTCTCCCATTATCTCAGGTCAGGATTTGGTGTAGAAGGACCTGGAGAAGTTGGAAGAAAGGTCTCAGCATTAGTTCCACACAAGCAGGCTCTCAGACAACAGGGGATTAGCTCTTGAGGTGAATGATCTTGGGGTCAGTCTCAGCAGAAGGCCGTGCACAGCCCTGCTCTCATGCTCAGCCACTGCTGAGATTCAATACATTGTCGCTGCTTCCTTGCTTCTGCCACTGTGAATCACCTTCTCTCTTGTCTCCAGAATTCTCTCTATCTCCTGACTCCAGCTTACTCATAGATACTGCTACCTCTTGGTTTCAGCTTAATGCTCTTTCTCTGTGTCTCTCATCTTCTGTCCCACTCCTGATTGCTGATACTAATTCATGGAAAAGGCTCTCGTTATTATATTGAGTCACTATCTGTATAGCAGACCCTACTAGGCAGAGCTCTCGGGCCAGTCCTCCAGAATGCAGATTTGGGCTGATTTGAGCCCAAGGACAAGCTAAGAAGTAGTGGTGAGCTTTATTCCATCAAGCGGTCACCTTTTGTGTCCCATATTGAATCAACCCTCACAAATGAATGTTGTGGTTCCCCTCACCACCCCATCAGCTTTTCCTGATAAACATTAGAGCACATAAAAGGGATGAACAGCTAATTTATGAAAACTCTGAGCTTACAAATACCAAGTTGTGCAGATCCCATCTGGGTAGATTATATTTTCTATAGATGGCTCCACCAATATGTCCTATCCCACCTGCTCTCCTTAGAACGTGCTATTGGCACTATGAGTCTGTGGCTCCTCTGTTGAATCTGGGCAGGGCTGTGACTGCAGTGGAAGTGAAGCTATATGATTCCTGAGGCTAAGTCATAAGAAGCAACGTGGCTTCCACCTAATCTCCCTGGGGCCCTTGTGCTTGGAATGCAGCCATGAAGATGTGAGGAAGCTGAGCAGCAAAATGCAAAGGTCCCCTGTAGCTGTTTCAGCCCCAACCCCAGCTGAGTCCCACTGACAGCTGGCACCACCCAGCAGATGTGTGTGGAGCCTTCAGACAATTTCAGTCTAGCCTTCAAGCCACCCAGCTAATGCTGAGTGCAGCAGAAACTAATTCTCTCCACTAAGTTAGGCAAACATTGCATATTTGTGAGAAAAACACCCATTTCATTCTAAAACCAGTAAGTTTGGGGGCACTTTGTTACCCAGCATTAGATACTAGAACACTATGATCCTATTCCATCAGCACTGACCTGTATTCCCCCTCATCTTCTCACCAGCTCCTTTCTCTGAGCCTTTAAACATGTTCCAACAGCTTCTAACCTAAAAACAAAACAAAATTAAAAAAAAAAAAAAATCTTAGCAAACCAGAATCTTTATTTTACTCTCATTCACTAGCTCCTTCCTTCCACATTCAAATTTACTGAACTGTCTCCATAACATCTCTATTTCCTCACCTCCTCTGCACTACTCTACTTCCCATAAGTAAGCATTTCCCCTCGCTCCAGGGAAGCTAACCTGGGAATGACTGCCAATGAACTCCTAATTGCAAAACCAATGAGTACCACTCAAATATGTATCTTCTTCATCTAACAAACACTACAAACCTTTCTCTGTAATGCCGTCTGCTCTTTCAGCTTCCAGTACTACCTAAGCACCTACAACTATCTACTGATGACTCCAGACTAGACAGGAAGACTTAGGAATGGAAGAAAGGAAGGAAGGAAGGAAGAAGGAAACATATTTATTGGAAGCCTTCCCTCTGTTAGGCACTTTGCTAGGCCCTCTCACCTAGGTTCAATATGAAGTAGTAAAAGTGTGGTAGAAGTGTGTTAGCCAGCCTCCAAGATAGCCCCTGACCTTCACTCCTGGGATTCCTGCCCTAATGTGGTTCCTCCCACAGGGATTAGGCCTGACCTGTGTGACCAATAGGATATGGCACAAGTGACAGTGTGCGACTTCTAAGACTAGGTCATAAAAGGCATTGCAGCTACTGCCTTGGTGTCTTGCTCTGGGGAAAGCCAGCCGCCATGTCACCAGATCACTCAAGCAGCTCTGTGGAGAGACCATGCGGAAAGGAGACGAGGCCTTTGCTCACAGCCAGCACCAACATGCCAGTTGTGTGAGTGAGCCACCTTGGGAGTGAATCTTCTTGCCCCAAACAAGGCTTCAGATAATTGCAACCCCATCTAACATCCGACTGAACCTCATGAAAAACCAAAGCCAGGAGCACCCAGCTAAGCCTCTCACAAACTCCTGGCTGGCAGAAACTGTGAGAAGCAACAAATGTTTCTTGTTTTAGGCTACTAAGTGTTGGAGTGTTTATTACATAGCAATATACAACCACCACAAGAACATCAGTTCTACAGTCCGATGAACCTGTGATTCTCACCCCATCAATTACAACATATGGACTATGGCTACATGTTGACTGCCCTAGTCCTCAGTCTCTTCGTGCATAAAGAATAACAGTACCTGCCTCCTAGGGTCATTGTGAGAGTTAAACTAGATAATGCATGTAAAATGCTAAACACAGTGCCAGACATATAGTAATTTTTCAGTAAATGTTAGCCATCTTCATGATTATTACTCTCTCTACCTCTTCAAATTCTTGTGTGATTACCAAAACACAATTCTTATAAAGACTCTTGAACCTGAAAGGAATGCTAGTAATATAGCTGCTTTGTGAAAGCCCCAATCTTTGTTTTGTTTTTTGAGTTTTAATTAGCATGTGGACAAACATAAGTGGGAAAAAAAAACTTCAATTTTTCATGAACAACTGTTAATGTAGTATTTCACTATTGGCACTACTTTTCAGCTGAGTCATTGTATAGGAAAAGGATCTAGCTTTTGGAATAACTGAGAAATCATTTTAATGAAATAAATCAGGATCTATGTGATTAATATTCAAAGGAGTAAACCCTGATTTACTTGGTTCACTTTATTTTTTAACCTCAACTTCAGCATTTAAACCAGAATTATATGAATCATTTTCCATATTTTAAAAATAATTTTTAAACACTTATTTTATTTTCAGTGAAAATACACACAGCAAAGTATACATGCATTCAACAATTTCTAACATACAGTTCAATGACATCAGTTACATTTTTCATGTTGTGTCACCATTCTTGCTATCTCTACCCATGGTGTTTCACCACCTTTGAGTTAGACTCACTACTCCCTAAGCTTCTCATCTGTGCTTTAGAGTTAATGTTGTCAATTTGATCTCATATAGATAATTCTTTAAAAGAGCACGATGTTCAAGGAGAAATTTCTTTACTAATTTAGCTAAACTGTGGTTTAGTTTAAAGATGCCTTCAAGGGGTAGTTTTGGCTCTAGGTTTAAAGATTTTTCTCAGGACAGTACATTTGGGGATTCCTCTAGTCTCACTGGGTCCATTATGTCTGAAGTCCATAAGAATGAATACTTGTGTTCTACTTTTTCCCCCTTTTGATCAGGGTTCATCTATTGAGTCTGATCAAAATGTTCAGTAATTGTAGCTGGGCACCATCCAGTTCTTCTGGTCTCATGCAAAAGGAAGCAGTAGTTCCTGGAAGCAATTAGCCCTGTAGTCTGTTTCCTTCTCTGATTCCTGGGTATCCTTTTTCCTCTGCTGCTCCAGGTGAGTAGAGACTAGTTGTTGTACCCTGGATGGCCACTCACAAGCTTTTAATATCCTAGGCACTACTTACTGAACTAGGGGGTAGAACAGAAACTCTATAAACAATATTAGGCCAAGTGACTGGACAGTATCATAAAGCTATGACCCTAAATCTTCAAACCAAGATAACTCATCCCATAAGATGTTTGTTATATCTAAGTAGTATCAGCAACTACAGCTTTTTTTTTTTTTTTGCTGTTGTTGTAAAATTATATATAACACATTTGCCCTTTTTCTGGTATACGACTTAGTGATACAGCTGGTATACAACTTACAGTGATATCAATTACGTTAGTCAAGTTGTATAACCATTACCCTTAATCGATCACAATTTTCCCATCACTATAAACATAAACTCACTACTTACCAGAGAATGATTTCCTCTCTCCTTCCCTTCTCCTGCCCCAAGTAACCACTAATAACCATTGGTCTCTATATATTTACCTATTCTTGTCATTTTATATAAGTGAGGTCATACAGTATTTGTCCTTTTGTGACTGACTTATTTCACTCAGCACAATGTCTTCAAGGTTCATCCATGTTGTAGCATGTACCAGGACTTCATTTCTCTTTATGGCTGAGTAGAATTCCATTGTATGTATGCACCACGTTTTGTTTATCCATTCATCTGTTGATGGGCACTTAGGTTATTTCCATCTTTTTGCAATTGAGAACAGTGCTGCAATTAACATAGGTGTACATACGTCTGTTTGTGTCTCCAGGTTTAGATCCCTAGGGTATATACCTAGCAGTGGAATTGCTGGGTCATATGGCAGCTCTGCTCTAGTTTTTTGAGGAACCATCATACTGTTTTCCACAATGGTTGTACTATTTTACTATTCCCACAGCCATAAATATGAGTTCCAATCTCCCCAAACCCCCACCAAACATTTGTTATTTTCTGGTTTTTCTTTCCTTCTTTTTTTATCCTTGCTCTTTTTGTAGGGGCGGGATGGTATCTCACTCTAGTTTTGACTTGCATCTCTCTAATGGCTAGTGATGATGAGCATCTTTTCACTTGTCTGTTAGCCACATGAATATCCTCTTTGGTGAAGTGTCTGTTCATGTCCTTTGCCCATTTTTTTTTTGACTGGGTTATTTGTCTTTTGTTGTTAAGTTGTAGAAGTTTTATAAATATTTTAGATATTAGATCCTTATCGGACATATGGTTCCTGAAGATTTTTTTCCCAGTCTGTAGGTTGCCTTTTCACTCTTTTGATAAAGTCCTTTGATGAACTTAAGTATTTAATTTTTATGAGTTTCCACATTAACCATTTTGTCTTCTGTGTGTACATTTGTTGTTGTATCTGATAATCTACCTTTAGAAATAACTAAGTCCCATAGCTTTCCTTCTATATTTTCCTCTAAGATCTTTATTCTTTTAGATTTAACATTTAGGTCCTTGATCCATTATGAATTAGTTTTTGTGTATGATGTGAAGTATTGCTCTTGCTTCATTTTTCTGCATGTGAAAACCCCAGCACTATTTGTTGAAGAGACTGTTTATTCCCCATTAAATGGACTTTCCACCCTTGTCAAAAATCAGTTGACCGTAGATGTATGGATTTATTCCTGGGCTTTCAGTTTTATTCCATTGATCTACATGTCTATTGTTAAACCGGTATCAGGCTGTTTTGATTACTGTAGCTATACAGACGTGTGAGGCCTCCTATTTTGTTCTTCTTCTTCAAAATTGCTTTGGCTATTTTGGGCCTCTTGCTTTCCCATGTAAAGTTGGGGATTAGTTTTTCCACTTCTATAAAAAATGCTGTTAGAATTTTGATCAGAATTGCATTGAATCTATAGATCAATTTGGGTAATATTGACATTTGCACAATATTAAGCCTTCCAGTCCATGAGTATGAAATATTTCTCCATTTACATAGGTCTGTTTTAGTCTCTTGCAGCAATGTTTTATAGTTTTCATTTTATAAGTCCTTTACAGCACTTAATATTATTGAGGACCTCTTATACATTATTTTGTGTTTTTCTCTTGCTGTTTTCAAGATTCTTTCCTTGTTTTTGGCCTTCAGGAGTTTGATTACAATGTGTCTTTGGTGAAGATCTCTCTGGTTTCACTCTACTTGGAGTTAGTCAGGTTTCCTGGATTTGCAGGTTTATTTCCTTACTCAAATCTGGAAAGTTTTCTGCCACAACTTCCTCAAATATTCTTTCTGTTCTTTTGTTTCTTTCCTCATCTTCTGTAATTCCCATAAGACATATATTGGTTCTCTTGATGGTGTCCCATAGTTCCATTTGGCTTTGTTCAATTTTCTTTCTTTCTCTTGCTTCTGTTGGGATTCGGCAAGTTCAGTTGTTTTGTTGTCTAGTTCACTTACTCTTCCTTCTGCCTGTTCAAGTCTGTTGTTGTATCCTTCCCTTACATTTTCTAGTTTCGTTATTTTTTTCCCTCAGTCCCAGTATTTCTATTTGTTTCTTTTTCATGTTTTATATCTCCTTATTAAGATTCTCATTGTTTTGTGATCTCCATTAATTTGTTATTTGTGTGATCTTTGAATTCTTTGACCCAAAACCCATTGCCACGAAGTCAATTCCAACTTATAACGACCTTATAGGACAGAGTAGAACTACCTTATAGGGTTTCCAAGGCTGTAATCTTTACAGAAGCACATCCTTCTCCCACAGAACGGCTGGTGG